AATGAATTTTGATGGTGAAAATTTTCTCGATGTAGAGTGAAGAGAGTTAACTAAAAGAATGTGTGAAGTTTCACCCTTTTGAAAGATATGATAAGTGCATGAAAAGATACGATAAATAATTTTATCAGTAATCTGTCTTATCTAATGTCTAACATGAATGGATTCATTTCTTAGTTTTCCCATAATATGTATCATTGCAGGTCAAAAATGCAATCAGCATAAGAATACCCTAATCTTGCAAAATTATTTATCTTCTAAGTTTTTTTTTTTTTTTTTTTTTTTTTTAAATCCAGTACCAGGCACTTGCATGTTCAGCATTGGCCAGTCTTTAAGGCCAGAAGTGGTGGCCATTTTGTTGTGGAGGCACCTAATAGGCAGCCACCATTGCCTATGAAGAGGCAGACAATTACACCATGCCTTCTCCGGGATTCCAACCCCATGCCCTTCAGTACCGCAGTAGAATCCCCTAATCACTATACCATCTGGGCAGCTCTTCTAATCTTATATAAAGAATATCTAAATAATGAAAAAAAAAAACCTGCATTCAGGTGATAAGTTTGACAACTTTTTCAGTACTGAAACAAAGCAAACTGATTAAGATTAAAAAAATTCCTCTCCCTAAAAGATGAATCATCTCTATAGCCTCAAGCTCATAAGAATCTATTCATTGTCTTCTTTGTGTGAAGTGTCCTACGATATGTTTACTTTATGTGTCCTGATTCTCCTAAAACTACATCTTCCTCACTACCTCATAACAGAGAGAAAGATAGGGATGGAGAGTAAAAGAAGCATAATGTGAAAGGGATTTCCGCTATTGGATGGGATCCTAACTTTCTAAACAGGGATGATTTTAAGTTAGTAATTTTTGAGCCAAAACTTGTTGAAATTCTGAACAAAATTATGAAAATTATAAAAAAAATTTCAGTCAAGGATATCTATAAAATTTGCTATATCTAGTTTCATAAATTTGGGAGTCTGCTGTAACCATATATAAAGTATAAAGGAAGTTAAATGGCATCCAAAAGTTTGCTCTTTATATCCATGTTTCATTTTAAACCAGGTTCACTATACCATAGTTTGACTGTATTCCCAGAGAGATGTTACAGGTGTACTAGAGAAACTAAATATACACATAATGGAAATATTTAAATTGATTAGAAATAGTTCAGTGTTATATATGAATAAAATGGAAATAAATTATTATTTAAAGAAGCCTCAAAAAATTATTTGGTTCTGACTGATTTTCTCTACCAGCAGTTTGCTACACCTGTTGAGAATACACCATTTCTAAAATTTTACTTTGCACTGATGCTATTTGCAATACATAAAATATTATGGTAGAAGGAACTGTGCTATTTCTAAAATTGCAGATGAACTGTGTAAAAGAGTTGAGGTTGCAGTTCATCAGAATTAAAGCAAATTTTATCCTTTTTGGAATTCATGCATTCATCATCAAAATTTCAAAATAGATTATTGCATGAGATAGCAGGAAATGTTCTGTTTTGTTACAATGTTTTCCTGATGCAGATTGAGTTTTGTAATTTATTTTTTTATCATTTTTGCATTTTGTTTTATATTCTAAATAATTTTACTGTTTTTGATATTAATATGAACATAAATTCACTTTCAGAATCAGTCTAAATTCACAGATGTTTTAATGGGTATGTAAAAATAAAATAGAAATATAAAATAGAAAAGACATTTACTTGGTAATAGATATTTAAATTTGTAATTTGTTACAAAATATAAACTCCTTTGCTTTTGCACTGACATACTCTTTCCCTGCACTATTCTCTACATTGCTGTAGGCTTTTCCCTATTCATTGTGCATGATTAAAACAAAGTGCTCCGAGTTTATAAATATTCTGGCCATGATATACACATTCTCTTTCACTGCTTGGTCTGCCTAAGAAAGCCATGTCTCTTTGATAAGCTTTTTTTTCCTACTATGTAAAATTTAAGCTGCATATACAAAATTGTGGGGTGCCTGTTGCAACCATAATCATACGTGAAGCAAATATTATGTCTTCAAAACTGCTTAATCCAACAATAAATATGTTAAATTCAGCCACATCTGTCTGGAAGTCCATCATTCCGTCTACACAGTAAACAGATCCAAGTTGCATCTATTCTACCATTGCCAGCTATCCTGCAAAGTTATCTCAGCTATGACTAAAAATTGAATTGATTTCATCTTCCGCCAAAACTACAACATCGCAGAGCTGTTTTCTTCTAATTATTCTTTTGTGGATTTTAAAAATTTAGCACTATTTTATGAAGATGATTGAAATTATGTCAAAAGATTTAACTTTTCATAATTATGTTTAATAAAATTAAGTAACAAATTTAAAGATTTGTAATTTTTTTATTTGGGGAAGGTTATAAAAATTACTATATTAATAATTATATTTTTTGTATTGTTTAAAAATTTATAATTATTTTCTAGGAATTTTTTAATTATTTTAAGAAAGATTGTTACTTAAAAATGTGAATTTTAAGAATTTTCTAATTATTTTGAGAAGGAAGTGAATATAAACTTTGAAAACTCCATGTTATGAAATAATGCAATTTTTTTAATAGAATTATTTTTTTTTTCATATAATAGTGTGAGTTTTTATTTTTTATGCAATGGAATGACTTAGAGCAGTTTAAGAAAAGGCTAGTTGGCTTTAAACAAAAAACATAGGCCTTTTAAAAGCAATTGCTGAGCAAACAAGTAACTGTGAGTGAAATTCTTACATCAGATTGTTAGTATGGATTTGCCAATAAGATGGATATGCTAATATTTGAGAAAGCTGTGGGGTCCTTAGTTTAAATTAGAATTATCTTAATAATAATATAAAGCATATAGTCAATAATATTTACATTCAGCAAAGCATGATTAACAAATATAGTAATTTAAAAGCAATAAATACACTTCTTGATGATTTAGATATTCTTTTTAATTCTAAATAATGTATCTAGGAAATATAATATAATTTTAATTTATTGATTTGGTAGATTTTTTTAAAAACATTTGCAGTATTATTGCATTTAATGAAAGGTTCTTCTAATGTCATACATTTGTGTTTTAGCATAGAACTGTATGTATGTTTTCCCATTTTTTAAAATATCTAACTGATTTACTTTAAAATACATTTACAGTATTATAATTAGTAAAAAGATGTTTAAACATGATATATTGCATACTTCAGTGCAGAAATACTTATTATTTTTTTTAATTAAGTGTGGCTCAAATAGAATGCATTTTTTAAATATATATTTATTTCAAAGAATAATTAAATCTGCATTCGGCGTCTGCATAATATCAAATCAGTTTGATGGCTTAGATTTTCCTTCTATTATAAGCTTGTCTTCATTCTTTCAAGCTTTCTGAAATCTCTTTAGATAGTTTGAAAAGCTACTGTTCTGTAAAGTTAATATTTTGATTTTTATGGTTTCAGTTTTTTAATAAACTTGGAGGTAACTTACTTTCAGATGGTTTGCATCAGTGATTCATTCTTCAGTTCATACAGAATTTTGATATTATTTGTAGATTTGATTTCAGGTTATTTACAGGAAATTTTACCTTTAGACAGGCGTGTTATTTTTTCATGATAGTCACTCATAGTTGTTGAGTGATGGGTATATTATTCACTTGAAACATCACCTTACATATTATTTCCTTGCAGATTTTTCAACTTCAGTTGCAAAATGATGACAAAATCAATTGTGAAAATTGAGTCACCCTAGGTTTTTAAATGGATTTCGGTGTTACAGGTAGCAGTGCTTTTGAAGTATTTTTATTGCAGTTAAAGAATTTTTAAAAAGTCTCACTCAAGATATAATTATGGATTTTATATTCCAGTCTTTCTCATCAGGCATTCATTAGGGCCTAATTGTGGTGTTTGCTCTTGTAATGAAAATGTATGTTTTTGAATCTCCATGTTTCTAACCATGTAAGTAAAGGATGACATGTGAAGTTGATAATCGAAGGAACTGATAGTTTTTTCATTCTTATATTATAATTTGATCTAGAAATGCTAATTCTGTAAGAAGATAGCTTTTGAATACATATGAAGCAAAAGCAATCAAATTTTTGTGGATTCATCTGTTTTACTTGGAAGAGTTTGATGATAGGAGCTGCATGTTTAACATTAAAATTTGCTTATCATCAAATTTCCCCTAGCCATATCTTTAATTGTTTGTAGTTTCTTGTATGTCTTTTACTTCATTACCTTCTCCCCCCCCCAGTGTATATCCTCTGTAGTTTAATACTGTAAGATAATGCAGTAGGGAAATAGAGATAAGAAGTTAGTTGCTACATATTTAATTATTCTGTATACATACTATATGTATCATATTCTGAAGCTTTATATATAACTATGGTGCACATATATGGCACATTATATATTATTATACACATATGGTGCATATATCACTTCTTCCAAGAAAGCCTCATTACATAAAAATTCCTTCTCAATTTTTTCCCATTTCTAAAATATATGCAAAGAATTTCAGGTTTGATAACCAGCAAGAATAGTTATATTTAGATTACTCTGGACCTAAAAGTAAAACACGAAAAACATTTTAAATGAAGTTAAGTGCCACACTGTTAATTGTAATATTAAACTTGACAAAATTCTCTATATTCATGTCTTGAATACACATGCTGAAATATGTCTTAAAAGTTTTTTAAAATGTTTTATATTTATTGTTATACTTTTAAGAAAGCATTCAAGATTATTTATGTTACAAGTTCTAATTTTTTTGTCAGTATAAAAAATATAAAAGTAGAGAAGTTGCAATTTTTTTATTTTATTTTTATTAAATTTCTTGAACATGTTAAAATCTTGAAATTTTCTTTTCAGCTTTTTTAATTACTAGATTAAATGTTTTGTTTATTTTATTCATTAAATTTCTCCTGTAAAATTTATCGGATATACCAAAAAGCTGAAACTGGCTTTGGAACATTTTTAATTGTTAAATTGAACTATATCTGTTTTTCTTCTCATTTTCAGATAGACAGAAAGAACTTCTACTCAAAGTACAAAAGCTGATGAAATCACAACCTAATGATGTTAGAATACATTTCGAAATGGCTTCATTTAGTGATGAAAAACTTTTGAAGGCCCTTGTAGCGAATGTGATACCTTTTGCAGATTCATTAGGAATGAATGAGCAAGAGTTGCCTAATTTGTACCAGATGATGAAGTATGGCAATGTCAGTCTTCTTGCTGAGAGCCGTCCAAGAATTGCTTCTATATTAGATCAGATGAGAAATGTTTTTGAGTAAGAATTGTACTTTTGTTATTTTTATGGAATATATTGGTTTTGTGACAGTGCATATCCTTGATATTAAATATTGCATTATGTGAATCTACTGTTGATCTCTTTCTTTATATGATTAATTTAAACAGCAGTGTGAAAAGCTTACTATACCTCTTCAGATAATATAATATTTACTTTCCTTTAATTTCATTTTGAAAAAAAAAATTTTTTTTGTGCACAGTCAAATTGAAAAGTATACCTAAATAGATGTAAGAATATTATAATTCACTTCCACACTGCACGTTGTCATCCATCCATTCCTTGCATATTAGTCTAAAGAATCTAAAACTCTTAAGTCATCTCTATTATTAATAATGAAGAATCTGTGTGCACATATGCACTTTGCATCATGAAAAAAGTGGCATTTAGAGCAACCAAACTCTGACCACAGATCACCCAAACACTTACACCTCAAGTCCAAATTTTGAATCTGGATTTTTATTTTTATTTATTTCATGTTTTGTGCAAATTTAAAGCAATTTTGATTAACAAATTCAGCAGTTTTAAAGCAATGCGTTGTCACTCAGCAAATCACAAGATATTTATCTTCTAAATTTAATCAGAAAACTCAGCATTTAAAGAAAAATATGTTGTCACTAGCCAAAGTGAAAGACATTTATTTGTCTTTCAAATTTAGTTAAAAGAACTCAGTGATTTAAAAGTCCAGAGAGAAAATATTTGTTCTTCCCACATGTCAGTGTGTTGTCATTCGGCAAAATGTAAGATATTTAATTTTTCTTTCCAATTTAATCTCTGCTCCTGACTAACAAAACAAGCTACGGAATTTAAAAGCAATAACATGATTATTCATTCCTGTTGTTATTAATTACTATCTGGGCTCTAGTTTTTCTTTTTTATAATTATTTTAGGTGACTAGTCAAGCAAATGGTTAGTTTACTAAAAATTCTAAAGAGGGAAAATATATAAGAGGGAGAAAAACATGAGTAAATATATATGAACTTCACATGATGACCTGCTGAAGGTGTTAAATTGCATTAAATGTTGTAATTTATGAAAGTTTTCTTTTAATGGTAATGTAAAATTAAAAAGTTTTCATTTAATGTAAAAATTCATGCAAAAGTCATAAATTATCTTAATATAGCTTTGAAATGTTAGATTGTGCAGAATTTTTTTTTTTTTTCCTTTTTTCTTTCCAGAATGAAATTAAAGGAAAGAAAACATATTATCTGAATAGGTATAATAAGCTTTTCACACCGCTGTTTAAATTAATCATATAAGGAAAGAGATCAACAGTAGATCCATATAATGCAATATTTAATAAGTTCTTTCTTTAACAGCTCCCTAGAAATGGTATTTATATATATATATATATACACATGGATAGATAGATATAGGTATGTAATACTCTCTTTAAATTTTTATGTGTGCAGAATCAGCAAAAAGCAAGTGTGAATTACACATGTATACACAGAGTATTGTAGCTATTTATCCTTTACTGCGAAAATGCAAGGTCCTTTTTATGAATGAGGCAGTCTTTATTCAAGCCAGTATGATAAAAATAGTTTCTTTTTTAAACTAATAAGAATTTTATTTTAGAATTGTAATGAATAAATTTTAAAATTAAATCTTGCATAAAAATTACATATATAAGGAAAGCATGAGAAATTAGTTATTTATCAATTTTTTGCCATTGCTGTAATTAATAAATTAACCTTTAAATTCATCTTAAATATCATACAATCATCCTATAAAAGCAGGGATCAACTACATGGTGCCGGCAGAGCAATTTCTAAGTGCTCACCATTCATATATCTAAATTTTAAATTTTAGATACAAATACTCATAATTGTAGTGAATTAAGTTTAAATTTATATTGTATCTTTGCTATTTTAACAATTGTAGAATTAAACATTTGTTAGAAGCTGAATAATGACATCTAGATACCACTACATGATTAAATAAATCAATTTTCAACTGCTAAAAATATCCCATTCCATATGTAGTAAACTAAAATATTGCATCCTTTAAATTCTGAAATATCAAACCTTTAAAGGGTTAAATTTCAATCTTTCCTAATCTTACACGATTATGACTCTTTTTCTTAACAATTAATATTTCAGCTTCCCCAACATTTCCATATTCTGTCCCCATTATCCCATTATAATCCAACCATGTCATATAGAAATTTATACTTATAATAATAATTATTGTAAATAAAATACTTGAAATTAAATAACTAAATATTTTATAGATTTCTTCAAGGCACTGTGGAAACGCATGGTCGTCGTAAGCTTACAAGACTTCATGTTCATACTTTGGCTTTCCAAGCAATATTAACAGATAAAGAATCTCAGTGGAAAAACACAAAAGCAGCTGCAGCTAAATCAGCTCTTACAGCAAATCGACACACTTGTGGGTCTGATGTAATAGATGTGAAAAAAGCTAAACTCATTATGGATGATGCTTTTACAACAAGTATGAAACCTGATGCTCGGCGTATACCTTTTGAAACCAAACATCCAATATCTTGCTGGGATGAACTGAATGTAGAAATATGCATAGCACCTGTATTAGTTTGTACAGATGTTTTACAAACTGGTGGTGGGGGAGATAACATTTCTTCATCAGGATTAGTTTTACAAATTTAAAAGTTTTACTGAAAATTACTCAAGTGTTTTAATTGGACCATTCTGATGAATTATTTTTTCAGCATTCCTAATTTTTAGTGCCATTTTCATTCCAAAATGTTAAAACTATTATATACTTATTCTAGTCAATATGTATATCCAAGAGCACTGAAAACATATTTTTTCCATTTTATAATGAATACTAAAAATTAATTAACATAGTTTTTAAAACTTTACAGGGAAAAACATATTTTTATTATTTTAGATGTGCTTTTCTTAATTTGCAGTTTGGGGCATATAGAAATAAATATTCTAAATGCTGTGGAAGTAAAATTATTATCCAGCCTTCTAAATGTAAAATAAATATCAAACTAAGATATATATTAAATAATATATTCATATTCTTATTTTGAGCTAGTAAAAAACTGAATATTTTAACATAGAAAAATGTAAATTCTTTTGAATGCATTTATATATATTTTTAAAGGTAACATCTGCTATCTTCTATGTAAAGTTTTAGAAAATTATTTACATTTGCATTAGTATGTGAAACCTGTATGTATTTTTCTAAATATATTGATTCTTAGAATTTTTGTAAATATATTTTTCCCATTATTAAAATACTGATCTTGCATACTTTTTTATATGTCAGTTATGCGTTTAAATTAATTAAGATACATCTTAATGTAAAAAATATAATTGCATTCCATTTATTATCTTTAAATTAAAAATGTATTCTTATTTATAAAGTACTTCTAAATATATTTTATGTTATAAAAATGAATTAACCTTTTTTCAAAAATGATTGTTAATATGAAAAATTAGGAAAAATTTTATATACTCAAGTTACAGTTATCTCTTGTTATGCGGCTGCTTTGCTGTAATCTTTATTAATATATCTTTTTTTAATATTGCATAGAGTGTTATATTTAATAATATTTTTTTTCTTGTGCTGTTTTATGATAGATTATATAAATCCCTTTGGAGGTCCACAGTTATGTGTTTTGAATAAAAATTGATTCCTTCCCAGATATCGAAGTTTAATAAAATATATGCACATTTATTTCATATTTCTGCATTTTGGTTAAAATTTAAAATATGTAAGTTCCACTGAAAACAAAAAATCAAAATAATTTTATTATTTTTCATATTTTGATAATTTTTTATAAATATTCCAGTAATTCTATGATTACTATAAATTTATGTAAACAAGAATAAATTGTTAGAGTCATATAAATCTACGAGGGCTGTTCAGAAAGTATTGAGACTGAATTTATTATGCAAAACAGGTTTTGAGTCAATCTCCTTTGAAATATGCTCCATTGGCAGTAACACACTTGGCCCAACGATGTTTCCAGTTCTCGAAACATTTCTGGAACTCCGACTTTGGTATGGCCTAAAGCTGCTGCGTCGAATTCTGTTTCATGGTCTCAATGTCCTGAAACCAGTGTCCTTTTAAGGTGTTCTTGATCTTGGGAAAGAAGAAGAAATCTGGAGGTGACATGTCCAACAAGTAGGGAGGATGTGCTACTTGGATTGTTCCGTGTTTTGCCAGGAACTGCTGCACAAGATTGCTGGTGTGCGTTGGGGCTCCGTCATGGTGAAGCATCCAGCGAGAGGACGCCCACAACACGCAGGTCGTTTTCTGCGACAGCCTCTCTTAATCTCCTCATGGGACGTCCAAGTATAATTCCTTGTTCATTATCTGGCCCTGGGCAGTGTACTCATGATGAACAATTCCATCTGCATCGAGAAACACAAGCAACATGACTTTGATCTGGCTTCCCACCTGCCGTGCTTTCTTTGGCCGAGGAGACTCGGGCCTTTTCCATTGTGACAACTGCTGCTTTGTTTTGGAATCATCAATTTGCTTTGTTCATCACATGATCCTATGGAAACGTCACATTCTTGTGCAATTTCTCGGGCTGTTAAATGACGATCAGAGCGCACTACAGACTGCACTTGTGCAATCTTGTTCTCATTGCAAGAGGTGGACGGGCGTCCAGAACAGGGATCACTATCCACTGATTTCTGACCCTCCTTGAATCGGCAGAACCACTCGAAAACCCGAGCACATCTCATCGCTTCATCTTCAAATGCTATTTTAATTATCTCGTACGTTTCGGTGCCCGTTTTACCGAGCTTTAAGCAAATATTGACAGATTCACTGCTCTGTGTTTTAAGATATTTTCTGTTTTTGACGAATGCACGCAAACGCTCCACATGAAAGAAGTCAGTGTGACTGACATTTAATTTTCTATTTTTGAACTAATTTGCGGATATCCATTCTTAAGAGATTCCTCACGTTTAAACTGTTAGCGCTTTTGTACTAAAATTTTTTGAGTTCGCAGTTAATTTTTTTAATTCTTATTTTAGTCCAAAGGGGCTTTTGTCCCTGAGGGACTATTGTTTTTGTTTTGTGATTTTGTGTTGAATCACTCTCAATATCCCTTTCACTTTTCAGACTGTTGCCACCAAATATTATCACCCTGTATTATATTCGAAGAAATTAAATAATGAAGAATCTGCATAGATGTATATATGTTTCTCACATTATGATAAAACAACGGTACCTAGAGCCATCCAATTTTGAATGAGTAATCCTACTGCGAATATAGGCATGTGGAAGTCCGAATTTGGAATTTGTTTTATTAGTGATTTTTTGTATTTTGTGAAACTTTAATGAATTTTTAATTAACAAACTCGCTGATTTCAAAGCCAACAATGGCAACACTGTACGGGGAGAAAAAAAACATTTTTATCTCCAGTGCACGAGACTGTGTATTGGAAATTCTAAAGCTTTGCTCATTTTAAAATTATTTTGCAATATTGACGTTGAATTGAATTTTAAGTGCAAAGAATATGATATTTAATAAATAAAGGTAACACACAAAACGTTAAAGAAATGCCCTTTGGGTGTTATATAAAATCTAGTAGTTTAATGCATAATTTTGTGATATCAGTTTTTAATGGCTGAAGTTCAGGACGGTCTGAAGCAACAGAACTTGCATTGTAAAGATATTAAATACACAGATTTCTAAATTTCTGTCATATGTAGCCTCTCATAAGAAAACGTGTTCAATTTAAAATACATTCATAATACTTTTTAAGCTCATTCCAATTATGACAAAAAGCAATAGTTTCCAAATTCATACATTAAACACAAAGAACAATCTATGCTATTAAAATATGTGCACGTCTGTGTGTTTGTTTGTGGCACTATCTCTTTCAGAATAGTGGGGAAAGTCATTTTGACCAATCTCATCTTTGTACGACTTTAATCAGCTGAGATATTCATTAAAAACTCTGAAAAGGCTCGTTTTTCTAAGAGGCAATCGTCTTGCGTGTTGGAGATAAAAATGCTTTATTTCGAAAAGTGTTGCTACTGCTCGCTTTCAAATTGTAGAGTTTGTTAATAAAAAATTTTGTAAATTTTGCAGAATATACAAAATATGAAATCAAAATTGCATTGCCAAACATTAAACATATTATTATTATATAAGGTCATATTCTGACGACATTGTATGTTGAAAACTTTTTGCTAATATCGGCATTTTTTAAATTTCAAGTTAGTATAATTGACAGGATATATTACTGCCACATTAATTCTTTTATTGACATTGAGAAAATGTTGCTATATTAAATTTAAATCATGATATCATATATATATATATTTGCCTGAAGTGTCAAAAGTTTTTATTACCTAGTTTGGCAACAAAAGAAATTATTTACGAATTGGTGGTTGCTTGGAAAGAATGAACTGATTTCATTCATATTGCAAGTTCTGTTGCTTTTATACATTTGCTTTTCAGAGATAAACAGAACTTATAAACTGTGCTTTGGCTGCAGCCCACTAGTCTTTATATTTTGCACTAATATGAAATTTTTACCCAAAATATAATCTGCATTTTATTGCAAAACTGTGCCAATTTTACTTAAATGTTATCAATTCCATTTTACTATTACTTATGATTCATTACAAGTATTGTTTGAGGCAATTGAAAGATATATTATGTTAAATATTTTATTATATTAAAAAAGTTACAAAGAAGAATCACATAAATAACTAAAACAAATGTTACAAAGATGAATCACATGGATAAGAAAAATATAAATTATTCATTTATCCTTAATTTTGACTTTTCAACTGCTGTTAAGGTCCTTAATCTTGTTAATACATGGTTATTGTTCAGATTCAATAGGTATTCATAGAATCGACTACCTGCGTAATTAAAAAAAGTAAAACAGTTTTAGTAAGTAAACACAAAAATTGGAGTTTGAAAAAATATCTCCAAAAGAATTTTACATCTGAAGAAAACATTATCTAAAAAGTTAAAAATAGAAATGCTGAACTAATGTATAAAATTAAGCAGTATTAGATAAAAACATTACACACCACATAATGTTGTTATTGGTATCACTTCAAGTATCTCTTCATTTTCTGAAAGACTCATATCCAAAATAAACTTCATGTGCATTAACAAACGACTAGTCCATTCTGGTTGTTGAAAGTTCCCAAAAGCCCAAATCTGTCCACTATTAGCTGGAGAAGCATCATTTGGAAGAATTGTCACAAACTGTGTTGAAACAGAAAAAATAATAATAATAAAAACTTGGACATGATTTTAAATCATATTTTAGTGATTCATGATATTAAACTGTTATTACATACTAGAACCAATTATTTAAGTATTTAATATTAAATACTAAGCATAGGCAGTGAAAGTAACAAAAAATTACCCATCTCATTCTAAATATATATTTCCTTATTTTATCTGAAGCTAGTTGTGGCGAGATCTAACATCTTCTTCATCATCAGTAGAACAACAATGTCCCCTTTCCGTATTTTATTTTTTTCAGATGGATTCCGCACTTGATGAAATGTGCATAAGTCCATCAAATATTCCATTTACCATCTTTTCCAAAAGGAGTCCATCAAATGTTGACGATTCTTCCACATACGATTTAAATTCGTTTCAGGCTTTGTGGGGCTGGAAGGAATAGCTGGAAGGAATAGTAGTTAATTACTTTCCTATGAGGAAGTGCGAGGGTTTTGAAGCTTCCTCAGAGTCATATTTTATACCGTATTCATGGACAATCGGTCTACTGTTAAGAGCGGCTTCAATATCACATAATACAGTGATCAAACCAGCATCATCCAAAAGAGCCTTACCTAATTAAGACACAATAACATGCCGAATAAATACTAATTCAGAAGTCAAACAACAAAAATCAGCGTTATATTTACAAAATTTTCACAGGACTAGTTTCGATGGTTTTACCGAACCATCATCTTCAGCTGCAAAACCGCAAATGAACAAGATAGGAAATAATGATTAGATAAGATAAGAAAGCCTGGACAAGAATAAGCAAGTGGCGCCATCTGTTGTGAAACCAGAACTAAAACATAATTTCTCTAAAAGCCGAAGGCAAATTTGGATTGGAATTAGGATCGTTAACTAGAACAGAAAGATTTTTGAATGTGAAAATGCCTCTAGAAAATCCAGTTCTCCAATGGAAGATGTTTTTTGAATAATTTTGGCAGCAGAAAAATTGAAAGTGTGATTTTCGGACCAACAATGTTGAGCAACAGAAGACTTCTGTGTTTCCTTTTTTCTAACATATGCCTCATGTTCTTGACGCGAAATTTTAAGGCTCTCTTAGTTTGGCCAATGTAAATTAAACCACACTGGCAAGGAATCCTATAAATACCCCAGGAATTCATATCCGGAATGGGGTCCTTGAGTATAGAAGTTGGAATTTTATTGATGGGAGAATAAAACAACCCGAAAGTTAAATTTCTGCAAAATATGTGCAACTTTATAGCTAATTGATGGAAAGAAGGGAATGACAACAGAATTTTTATAATCTCCTAAAATAAGAGTGTGGCTTTTAGTGTGTTGAGATGAGAATTTTTTAACTGCTTGATTAATAATGTTGGGTGAAAAGCCCCTGTCAATAGCTATTGCTTTTAAATAATTTAGTTCTTCATCAAGGGCTAGTTTGGAGGAGCAAACTTGAAGAGCACGGAAAACATAGGAATAAAATGAAGCTAACTTTTGTTTAGTCGGATGACATGATTTAAAGTGTGGTGGAAGGCAAACCGATGAAGGTTTACGGTAAACTGTAGTACTGAAGTTGGATGTGTTACGTGTGACCAGAATGTCGAGAAACGGAAGAGAATTGCAAGTCTCAAGTTCAAAAGTGAACTGAATAGCAGGATCAATAGAATTCATTGTTGAAAGAACTTTATTTAAATCATCTTTATTACCTTCAAACAGGGTAAAAGTATCGTCTACGTAGCGGAACCATGCCGGGAAGTTTAAAGTTTAAAGTTTCAAACAATTTTGATTCATAATAATGCATGTAGATATCAGCCAGGATGGGACTGAGGGGGCTTCCCATGGCTAATCCCTCAGTTTGCTTGTAATATTTATTTTGGAAAACAAAATGTGTTTGTGGAGAACTGGATTTTCTAGAGGCATTTCACATTCATAAAAATCTTTCTGTTCTAGTTAACGATCCTAATTCCAATCCAAATTTGCCTTCGGCCTTTAAAGAAATTATGTTTTAGTTCTGGTTTCACCAACAGATGGCGCCACTTGCTTATTCTTGTCCAGGCTTTCTTATCTTATCTAATCATTATTTCCTATCTTGTTCATTTGCGGTTTTGCAGCTGAAGATGGTGGTTCGGTAAAACCATCGAAACTAGTCCTGTGAAAATTTTGTAAATATAACGCTGATTTTTGTTGTTTGACTTCTGAATTACAGTTGTGAATTAGTATTTATTCGGCATGTTATTGTGTCTTAATTAATTCACATTTGACTTCTGAATTAGCCTTACCTAATGTTTTCCGAAGGCATCGCTTAATTGAGCCTATCATTCTTTCCCACCACCTATCATCCTTTCCACCAAGCCGCTCGGGGGCGATGAATTTCCATTTGATGTTGTGGTGGGCATAAAACTGTTGTGCCTTGGCAGAGGATATAGTATCCCACAATAATTTCAGCTCTTTGTCCGCAGCGCAGAAAGTTGTGGCATTATCAGTGTACACTGTATGAGGAAGTGAACGTCTAGAGACAAAACGTTGTAATGCAAGTAGGAAGACGTCAGTACGCAGATCGGAAACTAATTCTAAGTGGATAGCTCGAGTTGTAGCACATGTGAAGATGACAATGTAAGCTTTTGTAACGGAGTTATTATTTTTTACGTAGAGTGGTCCAGCAAAATCAATTCCGGTAGTTTCGAAAGGAGATGACTTTTGAATTCACTCAGCTGGTAATGGAGCTTCTATCTGTTCACTTCTCTTCAGTCTTTATCACCTTTTTAATGGCTTGTCTTGCTCTTAATATCCAATATTCTGAACAAAGATGAGAAAGTACAATCCGAACACCAAGATGATGCATTCGTAAATGTGTTTGGCGTATCAGTAGGCTTGTAAAATTATGAGAACAATAATATGAGATGTTTTTCAGCACGAGATAAATCAGAAAATTGTAGTCGACCACCAAGAAGTATAATATTGTTCTTGAAAAATGGGTTAAATTGTTTTATCCTTGATTTCTTAGGGAGTGATTTTCCTGTCAACAGAGCTTCATGTGAAGGAAAGGATTCTTTCTGAACGGTCTGTATCCAATAAATACAAGCTTGATTAGATTCTGCGGTACGTAACTCACCCACTGACTTTTCTTGTTTCCTACAGTTGTGAATAAAGCAAAGAATCCAAGATGTTACATGTAACAATCGAACATAAGAACTGTAGTTTCCAGCCTTATGATTGGTTGAGTAGATACGATGTGAAGTGTCTCAACTTTTTCTTTCTTTGCTTTGAGCGAAGTTATGACTGTAATCTTTAGAAATAGTATCAGAATGAGGCCAATATTCTGGAGATTTGACTAACCATGGAGGGCCGTTCCACCAAATTTCCAGGTTTTTTAGTGTTGATGGTGAAACACCCTGAGAAAGTTTGTCAGCTGGATTGTCTTTGCCAGGGCAATGTCTCCATTGTGAAGGATTAGTATAGGAAATAATTTCTGTTACTCTGTTGCTAACAAAAGTTTTCCATTTGTTGGGGTCACTGCGTATCCACCCTAAGACAACTTGAGAATCACTCCACAAAGTTGCATTTGACGAACAGATGTTTGTTTCAGCACAGAAATATTTGCAACAATCGTGCTCCCATCAGGGCCGCCAAGAGCTCCAAACGAGGTAAGGTAACTTTCTTTATAGGAGCTAGTTTGTTGCGACTACACACTAAATTCACATTCGATTGGTCACCTTTAAAAGGTAACAATGTACAGAACTGAACCATAGGCACGTTCAGATGCGTCACAAAACACATGAATAGCAAAAGGAACATGTGATGAAATGCCTATGCATCGAGGAATTTGAAGGGAGCAAATGTCATCAAGTTCTTTCACAGCTGCATACCATGAAAGTTGATAAATTAGCAGGTAGTAATTCATCCCACTTTATTCCAAGAATCTGTGTATCTTGGAAGAAGATTTTCCCAAGGATAGTAAATGGTGAAAAAAGTCCTAAGGGATCATAAAAACTAGCAATGCAGCAGAGTAACCATCTCTTTGTAAGTGGTTTGTCTGTAGAAACACAGAGGGAAGTCTTGAATGCATGCTTCAAAGTATCAGAATTTGTATTCCAGCCAATACCTAAGACAGTTGTTTCCGTTTTGTGAGATTCTTCATGTGTTTGTAGTACATCTTTGAGTTTCAAAGAGTTTGTAGCCCATTTTTCCATAGGCAATTTCATTAGAGCCATTAAATTCTTGATCTCGTGATATAGCATTATAATGCGTGATTCAGTTTCCATACTAGCAAGAAACTCATCCATATAGAGATAGAGATGTTTATCTATCATTGGTGCAGCAATTGGAAATTCTGCGATATGTTTTGCAGCCAATTCTCGTGTGGCAGCAGAGTAAAAACGGGATGCAAGTAAGGCCAAATGGTAAACGAGTAAATCTGTAAACAGTTTTTTCATCTGTAAAAGTAGTAGGTTGAGATGAATCAGATTTTAATTTGTACCAGAAAAATTTTGTGACGTCCCTATCTTCTTTATGTAGTGACAACTGTAAAAAGCTTGCTTACCATCACATGTAACAGCGAATTCATGCAATCGAAATCTTAGTAGACAACCAATAGATTCAGGAAGAAGATTCTGGCCAGCTTCCAAGGTATTGTTCAGTGAAATCATTCCTGGAGCATGCGAGGAAGCGTCAAACACAATTCTCCACTTGGTTTCAGATTGTGTTTTCTTTCTTACAGCATGATGAGGAAGGTAATATACTGGCTTCTCATTGGATTCATCTATGGAACAAACTTCAACATGCTTTTGTTCAATGTAATTCAGCATGCATTTGTCATATTGTGTCTTTAACACATCACTAGATGCAAGTCTTTTTTGAAGAGAATGAAATCTGTTTTCCGCTATAATTTTGTTTGTAGGCAAAGGTGTGACCAATGGTTTTCTAGGCAGAGACACAATTCTTCGATTGTCTTCAGTGCTGTAAGTTTTTGTGAAATTCTGATAAAATTTCTTCATCTCGAGTAGTCATTTTCA